CTTTTCATTAAAGCTTTATATGTTTTGTCTTGTTGCGGCGGATGGCAGAACCCACTTAGAGCAGGCAGATTTTGGGGCTTCAGGGGTGTCTCTCTCTGAATTGAGGTGCCCTATAACAGAACTACATAACTTTATATATGTTGATTTTCCAAAAACCTTCAAATTTGGTTTAATAGAGAATTTCTCAGGGAAATCTTCCATTCACTTAGCTGGCCCAGATTTTATACTTAGATAAAGTTTTTCAGACAGTTTTAAATCTGTAGTATATTTTTCTGTACCAATACAAATTCCTTAGATTACATTATGCTTGGAATTTGCCATATAAGTTTACATTGAAGGTGAATATAAAAGAGATAGCAGAAATTTGTTATAATGTTCTTTTAAAGTATTAAATATTAGTATATTTTTTTTAATTTTAAACATGTTATTTATCATCAAGAGTTAATTCTTTGCAGGACCCTAAGTACAAAGTTAGAGATTTGAAAGAATGAAATATTAATCTAGGATTTGCAGTTTTTGATCAGATTTGACTTATTAATAAATGAATTCTTCTGCCATTTGTCTTCCATGTCCATTTTTGAGATGTCATTTGGTAATTCAAGAATAAACCAGAGTGTAAAATGTGACTCAATCTAACAAAATTCAGCATTCTTGAGCTTTTATATTTAAAGAAGTTTAAAATGTAGTTCTCATATTCCTTCATGCATTCAATTAGAAGTGCTCAGTAGAATAGCCTTCTCTTTGTTAAAAGACACTTAACAGAAAGTCAAAACATTTGTTTTGCCAGCCCCAACAAAGAGTTGGCGCCTTTTGCCTTCCAGGGTTTAGAGCCTGTTGACTTAAGACAAATGTTTAGAGCCTGTTGACTTAAGACAAATGTTTAACACACCTACCAAGAATGTGCTTATCAGTTCCTGGAGTTGGGGGGGGTGGGCGGTCTTAATAGGAAACACAGAGGGAGCATTCCGCTGGGGGAAGGGCATTGTAAAATGTATAAAACTACTGCCTGTGATCAATCGGGCTCTCAGTCTTGAGTACTGCTGAGCCCCGGCATGTGGGTTTCTGAATAAACCTGCCTCTGCTGGATTTCAGTGTCTCTGTTCTCGTCCTTTCTGCTTTTCCTCGGGGATCGGAATTCTGGACTCAACATTTTGGAAGTTCCACCGAGATTCCATTCCTCCCGGGGACAGTGCCGACAAAGGTCACTGCGAGGTAGGCTGGTGCCTTTCTTCTGAATTCTGAACTCTTTGTTCGGGGAACGGTTTTGTGGTCAGATATCCGGCAGACGTGTGGAACGGGTACGACCATTACCCTGGAGGACGCTCCGGGTGTGGTGGGGGACCAGGGACGCCTGGATCCCTCTTCTGAAGTGAGTTATTTCAACTGACGTCTGATTGTTCCCTGGCTCAGCCGGGTTATATTATATTGGTATTCTCTTCAAACGCCCTTTGGGCACTGCGCTTGCGAGTTTTCCCTTGACATTGTGGTTGTTTTTAATCCTTTTCCTCCACAGGGACGAGATTCTAGACATGGGCCAGAGTGCTAGCAGTCCTCTCTCGCTGACTTTAAATCATTGGTGGGAAGTCAGAGAGAGAGCTCATAACCTGTCTCTTAATCCAAAACGCCAGAAGTGGCAAACCTATTTATTGTACATCTGAATGGCCTACTTCTGGAGTTGGTTGGCCACCGCAGGGATCCTTTCATCTTCCTTTAGTCTGTCTTGCAGGTTAAAAACACGATCTACAAGCCTCAACCCTTCGGACACCCGGACCAGGAAACTTACATCCTGATTTGGCAGGACCTATGTGAAAACCCCCCTCCCTGAGTAAAAGCATTTCTCCCTCCCTCCCCCCCCCAACCCTCTGTTTCCGTGTTTGCACTTTCAGCATCAGCATCCGCCTCCTGAGTCTGCTAATACAACACCTGAGGTTCTGCAGGATTCCCAAGAAACCCTTCTCTTGCAGGATCCCCCTCCACCTCCACCATAACCGCCCTCGGGCCTGGTGACAGTCCCTGCGCCTGCTGACTCCCGGACAAAGGGTCTAGCGGCGTGCACCAGAGGCCGGGCACCCGAAGAACAGGGACCAGGACCAGAGGCTGTCATTCTTCCCCTCTGAGCCTTTGGTCCAAACCTCCCAGATGGTCAAGGAGGCCAGATGCCAACTTTGCAGTATTGGCCTTTCTCTTCTTCTGATCTTTATAATTGGAAAACTTTAACCCTCCCTTTTCTGAGGATCCTTCCAGGTTGACCGAACTTATTATATCGGTCATGCATTCCCATAACCCTACCTGGGACGATTGCCAACAGCTTCTTACTGCGCTGTTAACGACTGCTGAACGTGACTTAGTTTTGACAAACGCTCGCAAACATGTACCTGGACCTGACGGGACACCCACCATCCGGCCTGACCTCATAGAT